AGCAGCTGCCACGTACTCTGCTTCTGCTGTGGATTGTGCAACCGTAGCTTGCTTCTTCGACGCCCAAGAGAAAATTCGTGATCCGAGTGAGAAAGCATAGCCAGAGGTGCTCTTCATGTCATCTACCGAACCTGCCCAATCACTATCAGTGTAGCCAAGTAATCCTGAGTTAGTTTCGGTAGAGTACCATATACCTAACTCTTTTGTTCCTTGTAGATATCTCAAAATTCTTTTTCCTGCTCCAAAGTGTATTTGACTTGGACTTTGCTAGAATCTTGATAGAAGACTTGTAGCATAAATTATATTTGGCCGCGTAGCTGTCAAATATAGGAGGCTTCCAATTAAACTTCGATATTTGGATGCATCAACTTCTGGTGCTCCATCATTCTTTTGTAGTTTCTCATTTGTTATGAGTGGGGTAGCGACACGTTTGCAACCGTACATCTTGAATTTCTTAAGTAAGCCTTCTGTGTATTTCTTTTGTGAGATGAATATCCCTTCATTTCTTTGGCTTACCTCTATACCAAGGAAGTAACTCATCAAACCAAGGTCGGTCATCTCAAAGGTCTTCATCATGTATTCTTTGAACTCCGTTATCATCTTAGTATTGTTTCCCGTGTAGATAATGTCATCTACATATAGAGAGAGTAAGAGAGTGTACTGACCTTGAGACTTGATGTATAGTGTGGGCTCACTCTTGCTTCTCCTAAATCCTTGATCCATGAAGTATTGATCGATTCTGCTATACCATGCTCGAGGAGCTTGCTTCAAACCGTATAGTGCTTTTCTTAGTCTTAACACTTTGCTCTCTTTTCCTTCAGATATGAATCCTTGTGGCTTCTCCACATAGATCTCTTCTTCAAGTACACCATTGAGGAAGGCAGATTTGACATCCAGTTGATGTATACTCCATCCTTTTTGTGCCGCAAGAGCTATTAGAGCTCTAATGGTATCAAGATGAGCTACTGGTGCAAATATCTCATTGTAGTCAACCCCAGGTTGTTGTGAGTAACCCTTAGCTACTAGCCTCGCCTTATGTTTCTGTATGGTGCCATTAGGATTGAGCTTTGTCTTATAGACCCACTTAACCCCAATGATATCTTTTCCATGGGGACGATTTACTAACTCCCATGTGTTATTTTTCTCGATCATCTTTATCTCTTCTTCCATTGCCTTGACCCATGCTTCATGCTTTGATGCTTCTTCAAAGCTTCCAGGTTCGAGTATGGCCATGTTTCAGGTTTCATATATGTCTCTCAAAGATCTTACTCGTCTTGGAGTAGACTCTGGTGATGATAGTTCTTGAACTTGTTGTTGTGGTGGAGGTGAAGAAGGTTCACCTAGGACTTCTTCCTCAGCTTCTTCTTGAGGTAGTTGAGCGGGTATAAGAACATTCTTCTCCACTTTTTCTTCATCCCAATTCCAAGAAGCATTCTCATCAACTTCAACATCTCGACTGATGATGAGTTTTTTTGTTTGCAAGTTATATACACGGTAGCCTTTAGATATTGTGTTATACCCCAAGAAGATACCTCGTATAGTCTTGTCTTCAAGCTTATGCCTCCTCACGTCTGGAATATGAATGTAGCATATAGATCCAAAGACCCTTAGGTGCTTTGCTGATGGCTTCTTCCCGTTCCAAGCCTCAATTGGAGTCTTATCTTGTACAGATTTAGTTGGACATCTGTTGAGTAAGTAAACAGCAGTGTAGACTGCTTCAGCCCAGAATGTGTTAGGTAGTCGCTTCTCTTTGAGCATCGATCTAGCCATCTCCATAACTGTGCGATCTTTTCTCTCAAACACACCATTTTGCTGAGGAGAATATGCGACTGTAATTTGTCGCTCTATGCCTTCATCCTCACAAAATCTATCAAACTCGCAGGATGTGTACTCTTTGCTGCGATCACTTCTTAGTACTTTTATCCGCTTTCCACTTTTATTTTCACCAAGGGCCTTGAACCTTTTGAATACTCCAAAAACTTCTGATTTTTCTTTCAAGAAATAGACCCATGTCATTCTAGAGAAGTCATCAATGAAGAGTATGAAGTACCTGTTGTTCTCGTGTGATGGCGTCCTCATCGGTCCACAGACGTCAGTATGTATCAGCTCCAACAGATCTTTTGCTCTCCATGCTCCGCTTGTTGAGAATGGAAATCGGTGTTGCTTACCAAGGAGACATCCTTCACACACTTCATTGTTATCCTTTATTCTTGGAAGATCTCTCATCATGTTCTTATCATGTAACAACTTCAAGGCATGTGTGTTGAAGTGGCCAAATCTTCGATGCCAAAGCCATGAATCATCAACTTGTACCTTCATGGCAATGTTAGTTGTATATTTTAAATTTAGCGAGAAGCTTCTATTGCTCTTATTCATCTTCACTTTGGCTATCTCGGCCCTTTTATTCTTGTTGTCTAAGATTTTGCATACACCTCCTTCAAAGTGAAGTGTGTAGCCTCTCTCCATCATTTGGCCAATGCTTAGAAGATTTTCTTTTAGGCTGGGAACTAGTAAGACATCATGGATGAGTCACGTACCTTTATCTGTCTCTACCATGATGGTGCCTTTTCCTTTTGACTCAACCACACTTCCATTTCCTAGTCAAACTTTGACTTTGACTGACTCATTAATGCTTTTGAAAATAGTCTCATCCTTGGCCATGTGATTGCTACATCCACTATCCAAGTACCAACTTCCTCCTTTTTCTTTGATTGATTCTTGAGTGGCATAGAACATACATTGTTCTTGATCATGCTCCTCTGCGATATTAGCTTGATGCCTATTTTTGTTGCGACAGTGTTTCTCTATGTGTCCGAATTTCTTGCAATGATTGCATTGTGACATATTATGGTACCAACAGCTTTTCTCCGCGTGACCTAGTTGTTTGCATATATTGCATGGAATATTTTTATCTGGATTGTTCTTTTGGAAATTTCTAGGAACTTCTCTTCTTTTGAAAGTTTCACCATAATTTTTCTTTCCTCCATTTTCTTTATTTTGGGACTTAAATTTGAGCTTTTACTGAAAGGCATTTTCAAGTGTATCTTCTTTATGCCTATGTAGTCTTTGCTCATATGCTTCAAGAGAGCCCACTAGTTCTGTCACTGATAGAGTAGACAGATCTTTGGTTTCCTCTATTGTTGTCACGATTGGGTCAAATTTTGGGGGCATAGTAATTAAAATTTTCTCAACAATTTTCTTGTCAAGAATATCCTCCCCAAAAGCTCTCATTTGATTAACTATTTCTTTAACTTTAGAATAGTAATCTTTAACTGTCTCAGACTCCTTCATCTTCAATAGTTCAAAATCTCTTCTTAAAGATTGAAGTTTGACAGAACGTACCTTGTCATTTCCTTGAAACTCCTCCTGCAACGTCTTCCACGCTTCTTTTGCAGTCTCAGCTCCCATAATTCTTGGAAAAATTGCATCAGTCACCGCTTGTTGCAAGGTGAACAATGCCTTTGAATTTTTCTGTTTATTTTTCTTCAACTCTTTTTCTTGAGCTGCATTTAGAGCTGAAGTATCTATGGGAGCGATGAAGCCTTCTTCTACTATGTCCCATAAATCTTGAGATGAAAAATATGTCTCCATTTTAACACGCCAGAAATCATAATTTTCACCATTGAAAATAGGGACACAAATAGTTGATGATTGAGTAGTGTTATCCATGGCTTAGAAAAAATATTGTAGTCGGTTAATAGTATAAGGGAAATAGTTTGAAATAGTTTGGAGGATTTTGAAATGGTAGGTATTAGTATAACTACGCTCAATGTATGACCGAACGTAGCTCTGATGCCACTGTTTGGAATTATTTAGATGATAGTTGGTAGAAGATAGTTTTAGAGAGTAATTTAGAAGAAGGTTTTGTGATTAATTTCTTGGATGATAGTTTACAATGTAGCAAATGCCTATTTATAGGCTCAAGTCACCAACCTTTCAATGGTGGTGAATATTCTAGAGTTCTCATGATAGGTTATTATCATGATAAATCTAGATTTTTCTATCTTTGCCATATACTTATATATCTAGATTATTCTACCATATTCATACACCTTATAGTTTCTAGAATGTTCTATATTTTCTTACATATTATATTTAAAAACTCTCTAAAAATTTGTAGCAAATTTAACACATATATTCAATTAAACCTCGGCTTCGAAAGATCTCATGACCCACTGAGTCTAGAACATGTTTATAAAAATTAAATTGATTGTGAGTGTATATAACTTACAGTGACAATTCATGCATCACTTATAATGACGGATTTTATGCAAAAGAAAGACTAATTTACTCTTTAACAAAACATAAAAACCATGGTAAATCTTTTAGAATCTATGATCTATGTCTATCAGATTTCATAGCAAAAAATATAACTTACAGTGATAAATCATGCATCACTTATTGGAATTGGTAATGAAGTTGTTACAACAGTGGTTATATCCATTGTTAAGCTAGAAAAAAGAGCATTTGCTCCTCTCCCATCTTCCCAATATAAAGAAGCACCACAATAATCGCCCTGACAAGAGAGCCAAGAACGCCCAGATACACTTTCACACGCGTGAATCCGTGCAACCCCAAATCAAAATTATGTACAAATGAGATAATCTTTAAGTGGGTGATTTAGTTTAGTTTGAAACTTTTTAAAATTGAGGAATCAAAATGGATCCTAAAGTAAAGTTAAAGAAACAAAAAGAGTATTTTGTCTAATCTATATAAACAAGAACACTTTTTTTTTCCTCATCTAGATATGTTACATTGGAAATCTGTTACAAAACTTTTGAAGAAATAGCATTTCCTTAATATCATCTTGATTACAATGTTTGTGCATGCTATAGCAAAATTAAACCTTGAGAATGTACATATATTTCACTCATGGTTGTGACAAATCTAATTATTTACAATGAACTTCCTTTATCCTTATATCTTCAAGCTTTTAGAGTGAAGACAGATGAAAATGTTTCTACTTTGTTGATGTTTGGAAAACCAGCAATGCATCATTATCAAGCCTCTGTGGTTAGTCCAGCAATTTCATTGAGTGGCTTCCACATAAACTTTCTCCTGATCATTCACATAAACACCACAATGATATCTTATATAACAACACCAAAACTCATTTTGGATAAACTTTTCATCAACAAGTACTTAAAAAATTAAACAGAAACATGAGATATAGAAAATTTAGCACCCTACCAGTTTCCACATTCAGCAATGACCCTCACATTAGGCCTTAGTGTAGGTAGCAGAGCAAGGAATTGCAATTCTGCCTTGGAGAGAACCTAAAGAAAACCCAAAATAACATTTACACAAAGTACAACTTTTTTATTCTAATGTAATAAAAGTAATGGCATAATCCACACCTTGGCTTCAATGATCCATACCACCAACCCTTTGGCATCCGGTGGTAATGCATCCAATCTGTAATCAACTTCTGGTGGAAAATACCATCTTGCTATTGGTTGCTTTCCTAAATGAGGCTGAAAATCATATCTATGAATCACCGTAACAAAAACACCAAACACGACACTGACAGATATACAACAAGATCAATTTGATAGTTATAGAAAGTTAGTTCTGTCTTAGTAATACATATCAACAGAGCCGCCTTTGATGACATGCAAGACTGACTATTGTACAAGTCTAAAATTTGTCACGAGCTCTCGTTAAATAAGGCCTCATAAAACTATGATTAAATAGAATCTCTATTTTTACTATCATGGTTAAACTGCAACTGATCTACATAATATAGCAACGACAATAATCAAGTCTTATACACTAAGTGGAGTCGGCTATATAGATCAACTTCTACCATAATATTCTATACGGATGAAAACTTACAGGACAAACAGGATGAATCTTGGTGAGAGTGGTCTCAGGATCACCAAGACCACGAGCAGTAAGATCAAGAAAATAGTAACCTTGACGTCGAAGACGTGATAAGTAACGTCCTTCATATCCACCTTCATGAGGAGTATATATTGCAAGTGCTTTATGTTCTTCAACATCTGAAAGCCAACGTCCGAGATCAAATTTAACCAAATCTCCTCCGATGAAATCTCCTAACCCCATTCCACCACTGCATTTCACTACCCTATTACTTTTCTTACTGTTACATTGTTTTCCTCTCCAATCCACCATCATCAATTTGTCATTGTTGTTATGCGTTTTAGCTATGAAGCTGTTCCTTGTTTGTTGATGAAGATTGTAACATGTTGGTGTTCTACAACCTAAGCTAACAGAGGCTAACATGTTTGTTTTTGTTTATTTATTGGTGAATGTGGTACATGTTTTTTTTTTCTTCATGAGTTGAAAGATAAAGAAATATTGGTTTGGTTGGAAATTAGACAAGAGATGAATGGTGTATGATGTATGGTGGAGAAATGAGATAAAGTTATCATTTGAGAATAGTGTCTTTTTTTGCTTATAAATGTTTCTGTCCGAACTCAAGAAAAAATGTTTTTCTCTTTCCAGATTAAAAATAAAGGGGGTGTAGTTTCCTTAAAAAAAATTATCAGTCCAATGTTCCAGCCCAAATTGACAACCTTTATCATGGAGAATTTTTGGTGAGAAATTCTTTTTTCACCCTTTATATTTCTCGAATTTTTTTTTGGAGAGAGTCGATTCAATCGGGTTAAGAACGTTTTGATTTTTAGAATGGGTTAGTCTAACACTTCAAAAACAAATGAATGATTATACCAAATATGTAATTCTTATTGCAGAAAAATATAAAAGGCCGACCTATTGCTTTCAAAGGCCGACCTATATGTTTTTCCCATCTAAAAATTTCAATTTTGCTCCAACTTTTTGCATTCCTTTTGCACATTCATTCATATACCAATATATACTCATACATACATCTTCTTCTAGAGAAGGTTTCCTAGTGAATAAAACCTAAACAAAACCAGATTGTAAAGTTGTTCATCACCTTCATCCATTCTTCTATGCATACACACAATTGAACTACACATAATTATTTTTTGATTGGGTGACCATCTAGATTAGGATTGATAATGTCTAATTAGGTTTGGTGTAACCGAGAATATTGGGTTAGGGGTTTTGTGTGTTTCAAATAAGAAAACCAAGGTGGAATTTTCCTTAAAGACCCGGTTGGTTTGAAGGTTTTAGATGAGATACGTCAACAAAGATTCGACCGAGTGAAAGCCTTGGAACAAGGTGGTTTCCTTGCAAGAGAGTAGCACGATACGGTGAATTGTGTTCGGGAATCTCAGGTTTCAACAAGTCGCGTACTCAGGATAATCAAAGGATTGTAGCCGCATTGTTGGCCACTTGATCAAACTTTGATCAAGGGTTTGGAGGTGGAAGAATCAATACACAACAATAGGGTTTTGAGATTTGCATTCTTCATCTCTTGTTTAAACGATTTTGCAAAGAAAAGGTTAATAGCACTATCTCAATTCGATTTTTAAATTGAGGGAAGATTTACCCATAGCGAGGCCGATTGAGGAACTGCCTAAACAAATCTTGGACTCTCTCTCTCTTTTATCTTTTTATTGCTTTTAGTGTTGATTTCGCAATTTATCGAGTTCATCATTGTTTGATTAATTCGATTAGAAATTATGTTTTACTATCTTTTAAAAGTGTTTTCGTTGATATAATTATAATCATTTTGATTGTGATTGGCTTTAAACATCAACAAAACGAATTATATTTCCAATCACTATCGATTGCACACCAAGTGTTCGATAAATTGTTTATGCGTATTTTGATTGTGTTTTGGTTCATTGGATATACGAGTTACGGTTAGTGTTGCATTTAATTGATTCGTAGCTTGATCGTTCTTGAACATTTACATTCGTTATTACTCTGTTTGGTTTGCGATACATATGTTGCTTTTCGATAGTAGGTTCGGTTAGACGATTCGATCCTGTTCATTTTTTTCACTGCACCATATTTTGAAAACAAATTTTTGCCAAAAGTTTTTGGTTGTAAAATTTGTGATCTATTCACCCCTTTTACATTGAAGCCTATCGTCTAACAAATGGTATCAGAGATTAGTTCATTTCGTGCTTGAGATACATTTCATAGAAGAATGGCTACCGAACTTAAGGGTGCATAGAATAGAGCACCAATTTTCACCGGTAAAAATTAAGGCTATTGGAAAGCACTTATGCGCATTCATGTCAACCCCGTTGGCAAAGGTATTTGGGATGCTATCCAAAATAGTCCAAATAAAATAACTATGACCAACGAATATGGTGTCACAATACTTACACCGGAAGCACGATGAGATGATAATGATAGGAAATTGTGGTCGCATGATTGGAAAGGGGAATAACATTCTCATTTCTGCCTTGGGAGTTGATGAGTTTTATCGTGTTTCTCATTGTGATACCACCAAAGTTATGTGGGACGCATTAGAGATTTCCCATTAGGGTACTAATGGTGTGAAACAAGCTAGGATCAACATAGTGAATTAAGAGTTTGAGTTGTTCGTTATTGAGCATGGTGAAACCATTGCGGATATGCGAAAATGGTTCACTCATCTTATAAATCGATTAAATGCACTAGGTAATCCTGTTTCCAATAAACTTACTACTAACAAATTTTTGAGGTGTTTAAATAGGGAATGACAACCAAATGTCACCTCTATTTAAGAAGAAAATGATCTTAAGTCGATTGATCTTACGGCTTTGCTTGGTAAGTTGGAAGAGCATGAACAAGATATTACTTGCTTGGTAAAATACGAGAAGGAATATGAAAAGTGATCAAAGAGTGAAAAAGGGAAAGACAAAGATGAAGGGAAGAAGTATATAGCTCTAAAGACTTCTAGCTCAAGGCCTTCATTTGTGAGTGTTGTAGTAGTGAGAGTGACGATGACAAGAACTCTTGTGAGGAAGATGTGGGGTTGTTCATGTCGTAACCATAAATATCACCTCCCATTTTGCCTTTTTGCATAAGCATGTACACTTGAATTTCCAGCATATGCATTAGAATTTTTTTGGGGGGGGTTTGTTGCAGGCACATCCAGAATTTTAGAAAGTTCCAAAGCCATAATTAGTCACATCACCAGTTTTCAGCCGATGAAGTAATCGATTACCTCATGAAGTAACCAGTTACCTCATGAAGTAACTGGTTACATCTCCAGTTTTCAGCCCAGGATGTCATTTTCTGACTGAGGTAACCGGTTACCTCATGATGTAACCGGTTACATCTGCATTTTTGTAGAATTTCAATTGTTTTTCAGCATTGCAGCAGTTCCTATCTCATTCCTTTGGTCTACATTGTTCTAGTATCATGTGGGAGTTTCTAGACACTTCAACATAACACTTGCATTTGCTCCAATACATCACCAACAATAAAGATCACTATGCACCCTTATTTCCACTCATGTGAACCATTTGATCTTAGGGTTGCATTGGGATTCTCCAATCGAGATAACCAATAACTAATTGAGTTAGACCCCAACTCAGTGAGTTGGGTCTAACTAAATTCAAACTAAACTTCAAACCACCCTTAGCTAACCCCAAACCAAGTTCCAAGCCTAACTCACTCCAAACCTACACTCTATTTAATCAAACCTTCACATTGTTGCAAGGGACCCTGTTCCTTCTCTCATTTTGCTCTAAAATTTAACTCTCACTCTCTGAATTTTCTGCAACTTTCTCTCTCTCAATCATCTTCATCTTCTTCCCCAAGCCTCACTAGAGCTCTTTCCACTCTTAAAGCTTAGCAAGCTTCACATTGAACTTGCTATTCTTTGAGCTATACCTCTATTCCTATCCATTTCATCTCTGAATTCTGCAACAACATCATTCTTTACTTCAATTCAAGCTTTAAAAGTTGATCATTGAAGGATTTTTGGTGTAAATTCGAATTTGACACGAATATTGCATTATTTTCAGTTTTCCTTGCTACGAATTGCTCTAGATCATGGAATTCTATGGTTTTCTAAGCATCTCCTCTTCACATTTTGCTTACAATAATTACCAAGGAAAACCTTCGCCTTGTAGCACTATTATGGAAAAGGAATTTAACAACGGTTGGGAAAGACATATAACAACGCGGGACCAGGCGTTGTTATGTAGCATGTCTGTATATATGGTACTTGCAATCACGATACTGGGACCGTTGTTGTATTTTAGAAAGTGTGTGCCATATTACAACGGTTAGTTAATCCAACCGTTGTGATAGAATCTGGTCAGCATTCAATATTTCAACAATTAGTTAATCTAACCGTTGTGATATAATGTGTTCAGTGTTCAATATCACAGCGGTTAGTTAATCCAACCGCTGTCAAAACTTCCTCTGTTTTAAATATACAATTCTATGCCTCTCAAGTTATTCCCATTATTTATCCTGTAACTATTATAACCATATCAGAGAATTTACAAAAACCTGTATTTTTGTTAACCATGCATAAAGAGCATAAAAAACAGCTAACGTTGTGCATCAAAAGTCAAAATTAATATTTAAGTCAAACACATGTACAATATGTTTAAGTCAAAAGTAATATTCACATCATCAATACAGAAAATAAGTCATTAGCACATATTAATCAACCAGTTGCAGGGCCTTTAAGCACATTATAGATATACGCCTAATGTTTACGAAAATCTACAAAGTCCTCAACGAGGAATGGGGTTTCGTCGTTAAACATCTACATAAGAAAGAGAAAAAAAATTGAATATCATGCATGATAATAATTCAATAGTCAACTTATATATTAATATATGTAAACATTTTATGACATATATACCTTATCCCATGAACCAACAATGCCGGCAAGGACAATGTTTAACATGTGTTTCATGACATAATACTCACACTCGTAAGGCCCAGGTTGTTTCCTCGTCTACAAATTTAAGCAATAATTACATGAATATAACCACACATGAATGTAAATGAAATAAATAGGTAATTGGGCTACTCACTTTAGGAAAGATCCATGAGGGCTTTCTCCTAACATTGTTCATCATATTCACTTGCTCCACAACGCTATAAATTGAAAATGAATTAAAAATATTACATGATAAACTAATCACAATGTCAAAGAAAATAACTTAAACATACACTTACGAATTAATAATGTCTTTCATTTTCTTTTCGAGTGGATCATGCAAGGAACACAGTACAGTTATCGTATTCATCTTAAATGATATGATGATCAATTGCCAATGACCACTGAATAAACACGAGCATATATACTATTAGTATTTGCTAAAACAAACTAAATATAGAATACATAAACATCAATTACAAAAATACTTACGAACAAAGAAATGGTGCTA